TTCGTCGCCCCACGAAGACCCAACTGATCCCGACCTTTAGCCACAAGGACGCGCCCAGCTCGCATCCTTCCCTTAGTCGAACCCTCGCACCTTTGTGCTCGGGTCTCTCGGACCATGACACTCTGAGGGATCGTGCCATGTCCCGGGCCCCAAAGTTAGGCCCGTAACAATAGGCCTTTTGGCATCTTCTAGATTATACGTGTCCTTTCCACATTTATTCCTATCAATCACTCTTATTCTGTTACATCAACTATCTCTGACTACGGTTACAAATCTCGACAGAATAGTTCCGTAACGAGACTGTAACATTTTCCCATATTTAGAGCATGCTTTGACACAAATTTTTTTATTAATTATTTTTGTTAAACTTTTATTTAAATCAACTTCATTATTCTAACTAGTAATCCTTCTACGATGCATAGGAAAATTATAATTTATGTGTTTTCTCGAAGGTAATTTGTATATAGACATAATAAAATTGAGAAGACATGGCTGTTAATAATAATAATAATAATAATAATAATAATAATAATAATAATAATAATAATAATAATAATAATAATAATATTCAACTACAAGAACATTTGTTTAATTTGATATAAAATAAAAGAAATGCTATAAGTACATAATATTGTACATACGGATGTAAATAGCACTCATATTGAGTGAGACCCACCAGAAATAAAAAATCAAGTGGATGTACATTTATTATATACTTGTAGCATTTTTCCTAAAATATATCAAGTATTGGACTATGTTCCATATAACATCGACACTAATTAAACAAACATTAGGCCATAAGTCCGGATTTTCAGGGTTTTTATTTTTTTTTTCCTCTACTTCCCCGACTAATTCTCTATGTCGTGTCAGTCGTCTCTTTATTTTTATTTTTATTTTTTTTACCTGCAGAAAATGAACTTTTCTAAACAAATCGATCACATATATTGTGATTCGTACATTTATGTTTAGATTAAATTAAAATAAGAATTTGAAAAAAATGTGTTTCGATTATAAGATAAGTCCAAATGATTTGAAAAATTAATTAGTTAAGTCGTTAAGATTTTTTATCCATGTAGGAAGATGACCAATTAGTACACATTTATCATAATTAAACGTCATTTTAAGTTTTTTGAATGATTGTGATTTGATTTAGATAATTAGTTAAATAATTGAATTGTTTAGATTTTATAACGTGTTTTAACTTGCCCATTACACGTGTTTCCTCATTAACTCAATTTCTGTTAGTACTATAGCATGATAAATTATATTATTATATTATTTAATATCAAATATTAAGGACTCTTATACTAATTATGTTGTTTAAACTTGCTTCAATTATGATAACCGAGGTAATGTACACGTCTTGTTTAAATTATGATAATATAGTGTACATGAACTGTATTATAAATTATTGGCTTATTTTTTTAGAAGTTTTATTAACGTGGAAACGTTATGATAAGATTGGTGTGGAATTTTCATAAATGCAATTCTATTGTGGTCCTAAAATATTTGATTTTCTGTTACAATTTCTATCAATTGTTAGATTGACTCAAATATCAATTTTTTAATTAATTTGTTTAGAAGTTCGATTATTATGGTTCTTACCATTATCTTTAAAAATTTGAAAAGCCTTATATTCCGATTTTATTATGGTTCTTACCCATTGTTTTAAATAGTCTAAACATAGAAAATCAACTGATTTATTTATTCGGTCAAAGTTCTTAAAAAGGAATTTAACAACAACCTTTATATATATATACAGATTTTATCATTTATATATATACTATTATCTGTCTAACATATATTTTTAATGACAAATTAGTAACATATTAATACTAACTTTTTTTTAAAAGTCATATTTTGATAAAGGGATAATTGCCAGAAAAACCCCAACATTTTGTTAATTGCACATAAAACTCAACATTTTCAATTTTGCACCAAAATACAAATCTTTTATAAGTATTGCAAAATCGTCTCAAAGTTGACTTCCGGCCAAGGTGTGCTGACATGGTGGATCGAAAAAGTGACATGACACTCAAATTCAATAGTTTGTGTCACGTCAGTACTTCCACATCATCAGCCCTCCACGTCACACACCACCAATATATTTAAAAAATTTCCTTTCTTCTTTCCACAAAGGAATAAAACACCAACTTCAAAATGTTTCTACTCCAAATTAGAAATAAGAAAGAAAAATCTTCCTCATGCTTAAATATATTATCATACGTATACACAAAGAAAATATTTGTTGCAGGCCCAACCTTTAAAGCCTATATAACAATTCTCGATAAGATTTCGACATGTCCATAGGAACAGAAAGAGACAGCAGCAAGAATTTGAGCAGCGAGACCTTCTGAATCTGTTCGGTCGAGACGAGATTGAGAGGCATCGTAGGAGCTGAATTCATCAGCATTACGTTCATTTCTCTACCTATTATCAATTCCAATTGCTTTATCCTACACCCCTCGAGAATACAAATCCTAATTTACGATTTTTTAATTAGGAATAAACTTCATCTTTTCGAATTGGGAGCTGGAGATGAGGGTGAGCATGATTTGGAAATGGACCTGAATCTGAGGAGGGATTTGAGGGGGAGGCACAGGAGGATTTCCATGGTGATTTCCGGCGAGAGGTCGAGGGATTTGATCCGGTGCGTGGATCTGGGCTCTTGGGATGGATTAGGGTTTGGGGATTTGGCGAAGTTTTTTGAGCTTCCATTGATGAGAGATGTTGTTGGTTGGAGGTGGGGCGAGAAGAAGATGAAGTGTTCCTTTGTGGAAAGAAGAAAGGAATCTTTTTAGTATATTGGTGATGTGTGACGTGGAGGGCTGATGATGTGGAAATACATGTGTCTGATGACGTGGCACAAACTATTGAATTTGAGTGCCACATCACTTTTTTGATCGGCCATGTCAGCACACCTTGGCCGGAAGTCAACTTTAAAACGATTTTGCAATACTTATAAAAGGTTTGTATTTTGGTGCAAAATTGAAAAGGTTGAGTTTTATGTGCTGATGGGTCTCCTCCTGGATCTGGAGTAAACCGGTGGAAATGAGCTCCGGTCTGTTCGAATCGTCTCTAAGTCGCCCGTGGACCGCTGCGAACACCTGCAAGAACTCAACACCGGAAGTGTTTCCCAGTGAAGAGCCTCCGACGCTCAAGTCAGTGAGAGAGAAGAGGAGGAGCTCTGCTCAGTAGGAGCAGCAGCTGAATAATGAATCAAGAGAATGAAAAGTTAGGGTTTGGAGTCACCTCTACTCCTTTATATAAGGGTAGAAATGCTCACTGGAAATACCTGAAATGCCCTGGCCGACTTACCTGAAGTGTCCAAATGCCCTGGTCGGTTCACATTCTGCCCACTCTCTGAGTCAGCACCTAGATTCCTTCTCATCTCATACAGATTCTCTAGCTCAGGAAGCCTTGCTACGATACGGAGGTAAATGTGAGTCGTCAGAGGTACTCTAAGTCGAGTTGGAGCCTTGTCGAGTCGACTTATGGTCCAGTTAGTATATCCGAGGCTCTCTGAATGCTTATTCGCCTTCTAGCGAGTAAGTCGACTTACACCAAGTCGACTTCCTAAAGTCGTCTTTTGATCGTCCCTAGGCCGGTGGTGATCTTCTTATGACTGATAGGCCATGTCGACTTTGGGAGGTATCGTCTTGACGATATTCTTGGTAGCGTCTGTCGAGTCGAGTAACTAACGCCTGAACCGAGTTATGATAATAGGGCTATATCATCTAGTCCCCCCCAAAAAATTACTCTAAGCGACTTCGAGCTTAAGAGTAAATTTAGTAATTAGGCCTTCTTTTTCTTTTGTTGATGAGTCGTCTCGTCTTTATTCTCAAATCGTCTTGTCGACGATTCACGCGATTCGACTAGGGCGCTTGTGGTTCAACTTCATTACTTAAAAACCTTTCTGAGCGTATCCACTATCATTATTTCAAATTTCGCGCTTTTAAATTGGGACCTGACACGCCGCCTCATCTTTTCCCTTTGCCGCTTCGAATTCTGTGCCACATCTGAGCCGTTGATTTTTACTTTAATCCAACGGCCAGGGTTCCGTACTTCCCTCTATAAGTATCTTCCTCTTCCTCCCCTCCACACTTTTCGCACTCAAGGATTCTCGAGCCTTCTCTTTTCTCCGGCAATAAAGCATCTAGCGATTTCGGCGTGCACCTCCTTCCGGCTATTTCTCCGGCGCTTTTGAAACTTCTTACTCCAGTCAATATGTGTAAGTTTCCTTTAACCTCTATTTTTGAAAGATTTTTATGCCCATTTTCTGGGTTTTTGATTTTGGAGTTCTATGTATGTTCTTCGTGTTCTTGAGGATTTTCGAATGATTCTGGGCATATTAGTGCTAGATCTTAAAATGTGCTTTTTTCCAATTTAAGATTATGTTTACGAGAAAGTCGACTTTGCGAGGCGTAGTCAACTTTTTCTTCTTCGCGGGTCGACCTTTGTCGATCTGGGTATTTCCTGTTCCTTCTTTGCTATCGACCCTCATCTTCTGACTGTTGGGTTCTGTTAGGAACGTCAAACAACATGCACAGTATTGAACTTTATCGAAATAAATCCTAACGCAGCGGAATCTATAGTTAGGATATGGACGTTTACCTTTTAAAATTTTTGCCGACTCTGAGACGATGTAGAGTACCGTTGGTGAAGTTCGTCTGAACACCACAACCTAATGGGCGGGTAGGTTTGGCCTTTAGTTGATTCTAATAAACACGTCAAACGGATCACAATCACACGGTGGCTTGGTCTCGGCGTCGGGTGGCAGCGGGCAGCACGTGCGGACAGCGTGCGTGTTGATCGGGTGCGTCGGGCACTGGGCAAACACGCGGACGAACG